TGTCCTTCTCTGAAATAGGAAGCAAAGTTCCAATAACCATTTAATCCATCTCTGTATTAATCCATGACAAATATTCTTCAAATTCATACATGGTTCCAACTGATTATTGTGTTATTTGAAGACAGCTCATATATAAATTTGTTAGTAAAGACTAAGAAGGAATGCATAGTTAGTGGATAGGGAGTATTCCCTCTAAGAGGGATGGTGAGTTGCTCCATATTATACTACTTATAAAGAAGAATGATAATGCTTGTTGGATTATTTTAAATATTGCAGGTGACATATACCATAACTTAGTATCTTCCCTGATTTTGGTTAATAAGTAAAATTACATTTTTGGATCTAATTGGTACATATGCTAATTTTATATTTATGAATGGGATATGCAGTATATGTTGTAGAATATATTTGTATTTGTTGTAGAATATATTTGTACAAATATATTTGTAGAATATATAATGTATTTTCTAGAATAAAAGATAAATTTTTAACATCTTTTGGCTGCTCTGTCTCTCACATATAAATATATTCACTCTCTTCGCTTTCGATTTTCATATGGTAAAATTTGTATTACAATTGACAGTATTTTCCATATCCCTCAACCTTTGCAATGTTTAAACACATTTAACCTGATGTTGTCATTGATTATAACAGTGCATATGTGACATTTCATTTCTTCTGAGTAAACAACTGTTGCCTTGTTCTAACCATAATGTAAATATATATGTATTTGAAATACATTAGTATCTTTTTATCCTTTCAAAAATTGATTTTATGTGACTCTTCTCCTTTTGCTCTTCCACAGGTATTATTTTTCTTCAGAACAGATTTTGATGTTACAGGAAGGATGCCAAGAGGAAGACGAGTCAATGTTTAGCATTTGAAGTTCAGAATGGGATTTTTGAGTTAGTAATATAAAAATGGGCTTGAAAGCCAGGCTTTCCTGAGAAAAGAATTGTGTTAACATATCTGGGGCCAAGCTTTGTTGATTGAATCATGGAATTTGATCACAAATCAAGAATAGAACAAAATTAAAATAAGATAGGGGCAGTCCTAATTGTAAGAGAGAAGGGAGAGCCTATTCTGATTGACCTTGGACTGGAGGAAGGAGAAAGCCACAGGCATCATGGAAATATTGGTCTATGCCCTGTGCCTTGTGTTCTCACTTTCCCCTTGCCAGGCTATGGTCCCGGGCATCCTGGAGGATGTACAGTAGACATGTTCTGATGGTCTCTATTTGAGCTCCAATAGACCACACACACAGGTTGACTTCCCTCCACTTGAATTACAGGGATGTTGGAGAGGTGAGTAAAAAGATCAAAGGCATCTTCCTGTGCTCTCCATTGTAAAGTCTGATACAAAGATCACATGAGACTAGGAAAATCATTGCCGTAAGCTTTGAGGATGGTAACATTTCCCTTAACTCTGATTTCAGTTTAAAGAGAAAAGTGAAAGGTAGAAAAAGGCTTGTAGGAAGCTTAACTTTGAAGTAAGAGAATATTAATGTAGTAGACATTTTTTAAATTGAAAGATACTGTTTAAAACAGAAGATAATAAGCTATTGTTAAAATTCTCCTCCAGTCCCAGTACTTGATGGATGGTTTAGAAAAGCCACAGAAAATAAAGGATTCTTGCATTCATTGGACATCTGTGTGGTGTATGTGTGAACTTAATACCACCATAATTATCTATTGATTTAAAAGAGCTCAGTGATAGTAGCTATGAATGTAATTATATGTAATCTAAGTCACAGGCATTTTAGAGACATAGAACAGCAAATAAAAAATGTAGGGATTAAACTGTTTAAATATTTCCTTAAATTATTTGGTAATGTTGGTATTATATAGTAAGAAATGACTAGTTACAATATATTCAAATAGGTTCACTCACTTATTTTGTACAGTTTGCATGCAATCTTCTATACTATTTTGCACACTTCCATTCCAAAGGATTCTTACTGAATTCACTTTAGAGAAAAAGTAATAAAGTTATCTTAAGGTTTGTAAAGGCCAATATTTACAGACTGTGTATGCATTTATAAGTTATCAATAATAAAAAAACTGTGCTGTATATCATTTATTCTATTTTTGCGTATCATATTTTCACCTAGTTTACACTTAAATTTTGATTGAGGACTAGAATTAACTAGCTGTATTTAAAAGGAAACAATGTTTTAATACAAATTACAATATTAATATAATTGCTATAAGATAATTTATTTTCCTTTTTAAGTATTATATAATTTGATTTTAAATGTGTTATCATTTTACTGTTACATACACTAAAAGACTTAGACCAGAACTCCATTCCATTGAATATCTGTTATAATGTGTCTGTAGAAATATCTGCTCTATGTGTATAAAATTCTCAGGAAACTGAAAACTTAATATTCAAGTTTTATATAATTCTGTTAACACTACTTTAAAAAAATATTCCAGAAAATTTATGACTAATGTAATGAAATAGCTAAGAAAAATTCTGCCAATTTAGAATATCTACTGGTTGGTGCTATCCATGGAGTTTTTGTTTTAGTGCCAGAATCAAAGATTCCATAAAAAAAAAAAAAATAGAATGTCTGGGCCACTAGTTGGCAACTTTTGATTCATGGATTTTGTGCTGCTGTTGTCATCAATTACAAGAATTTATGTGTTCACTTTTTTTTAATGTTTCTATTTTTCACCAAGAATTTCTTCACTTTTCTCTGAGTTCCATTTAATTCCAGTGCTGTATTTCCCCACCTTTGCTTTGCTTCATTTTTGTTTTAAATTTCTGAACTACCATTTGGTTGTTTTAAATGCACTTAATCTTTTTTTTTTATTTTTTATTTTTTTATTTTTTTTTTCACAGTAGAAACGTATTTTAATTGTGGCAAACTTCACATAACATACAGTTTACCATTTCAACCCTTTTTAAGTCTACAGAAAACATATTTCTTATAAAACAGTGTAAGGGGGATGTCCTGTTCTTTTTTTTTTTTTTTCAAATATTAAATTTTATTTTTATATTCCCCCATACAATTGCAAACGCCCCATTCTGACCCCAATCCTTCCCCTCCCGCCCCCCCCCCCAAAAAGTGTCTCTGGTTCATAGTTTTTGTTGATTTTGATTTTCACTTTCTTATATTCATTTTCCTGGTCCCTTATTTAAGTTTTCTAGATTCCTGCTATGAGTGAGACCATCCGGTATTTTTCTTTTTCTTTTTGGCTTATTTTGCTGAGCATGATCCCTTCCAGTGCCATCCATGTTGCTGCAAATTGCATGTGTTTATCTTTTTTGAATGCTGAGTAATATTCCATGGTATATATGTACCACATCTTCTTGATCCAGTCATCTATTTTTGGGCATTTGGGTTGTTTCCAAAGCTTAGCTATTGTAAACAGTGCTGCTATAAACATAGGAGTGCAGGTGCTCTTTGGAATTGATGTTTCTGTGTCCTTTGGGTAAATACCTAGGAGTGGAATTGCTGGATCATATGGAAGCTCTATGTTTAGTAGGTCCAGAAATCTCCACACAGCTCTCCATAGTGGTTGGACCAGTTTGCACTCCCACCAACAGTGCACAAGAGTTCCTTTTTCTCCACATCCTCGCCAACATTTGTTGTTGCTAGTTTTTTTAATATGTGCCATTCTCACTGGTGTGAGATGGTATCTCATGGTAGTTTTGATTTGCATTTCCCTGATTACAAGTGATGTTGAACATTTTTTCATATGTCTGTTGGCCATTTGCATTTCCTCTTCAGAGAAGTTTCTTTTTAGCTCTTCTGCCCATTTTTTGACTGGATTATTTTCTTTGTTGTTGCTGAGTCTCATCAGCTCTTTGCACATTTTTGTGATCAGTCCTTTATCATTAGTGTTGGGTGCAAAAATGTTCTCCCAGTTGGTGGGGTTTCTCTTTGTTTTTGTTATTGTCTCTTTTGCTGTGCAGAAGCTCTTTAATTTGATGTAGTCCCAGCTGTTTATCTTTCCAGAAATAAACCCACAGATTTATGGTCAACTAATCTTTGACAAAGGAGCAAAGACTATGCATTGGAGCAAAGAAAGTTTGTTCAATAGATGGTGCTGGGAAAACTGGGTAGCTACATGCAAAAGAATGAAGCTTGACCACTACCTCACACCATACACAAAAATCAACTCAAAATGGATTAAAGAACTAGACATAAGACCTGAAACCATAAAATACATAGAAGGAAATATAGGCGAAACACTACGGGATTTGCACATCAAAGACATCTTTACAGACACATCACCCAAAGCAGTGATAGTGAAGAGATAAATGCACTTAATCTTAACCAGTTAATTTTTTTCAGGTTGTATAATATTTAATGTGATAATAGTTTGCATTTATTGAGCACTTATAATGGGCCAGACATTGTGCTATTACACACACACACACACGCACACACAATCTCAATTATTCCTCCCCTCTTAAGAAGCCTGGTATTATTATTGTACCTTTATTACAGAGGAGGAAGCTGAGGCACAAAGGATTAAAATAACTTGTCCAAAGTCAGTCACAGTGTTGGAAAGTAAAAAAGGTGGGGACTATTTACATGTGGTCTAACTTCAAAGCCAGTTAATTTTTTAGTGAAAATTCTATAGGTTGCACCAGAAATTCATCATAAACTAGACTGTGAAACATGGCATAAAATGCCTCGTAACTGAAAAATCTAAGGGTGGCTTTCCAAAAATTACTGGATTCAGATACTTAAGTAACAACAATGTTTCTCTCTTGCCATCACTACAACTTCATTCTCCTCATTCCCAGACTTTCTGTGTGTGACTGGAAGGATGGTGGCCAGCACTTTTGAGAGGGCTGCTCATAAGGTCCTTGCAGTTGGAGATGTGCAGCAGTGAGAGCATCTTTCCTGCTTCCTCTGGCAACACTCCCCAGGAGGGTTATGATTAACCTTCTTAACATCACATGAGTGATGCTTAATTGTGGTCTGTACATTAAGAAAACTATGGACAACAAATAGCCTTACTTAAATAATAAAGACTTACTAGGATTACTGTAGTAGAGAGGTTAGATGATTATCCCAAAGAAGGATACTGGGTTGGCAAAAACTGAAATAAAAACAAGCCCATTAAATGAATATGTGTTAATATATATTGGCATTATACCTTGTGAATTATTAAATTTATACAAAACAAAAAGACATACGAACTTTTATAAATACACTGTGAGTTAGGTTTTATTTTAATTTTATCAGATAACAGAAACAAAGACCAATACAATTTTACCAAGTTCACATTACGTGTAAGTCATCAGACATCAGACATTTTAAAGATAAATTATGTATCCAATTGCACTGCTATTAGAAGAATAATGTATAATGATTAAACCTAAATGTGATGGCATCAAATCTAAGTATCATTTTTTTTAAAGATTAAATATATTTAAATGGATGAAATTAGACATTAGTCTGATTTAGTCCTTCAGTGTTTGGTGATAATTAATGTTTTAAAAATATTCAAACACCCTATGAACCCTAATTCTTACTTGCAATTTCCTTAGGGTATAAAATCAATGGGTGGAAATTTTCTATTGGATGAATGTCAGCTTTATCCACATGCTTCAGTTGAATAAATGTGACTGCTAAGAACCATGTTTAATGAAATAAGTTCGTGAGTTACAAGGACCAGAAGCAACAGCAAGTACCTTCTTATTAAAAATTCTATATAAAACAGAAGTGTCATTGCAGAAAAGAATTTATTTTAAAATATTTTCAAAGATCATTATTGCCTAAAGGAGGGGGATTGTATATGAATTTTAATTCACATGACTGTCATGCCACATTTCTTTTTTTTTTTTTCAAGGTCATCTTGAGTCCCTCTTCCATTTGGAGTGGATAGTGACAAAGTAATTCTAAGAGCTTGCTGAGATATGGTCCCTCTCATATTTTCTAGAATCACACGCAGTGTCAAGGATCTGGGATGCCCTTGAAGTCCACAATGGTCCACAATGTTTCACAATGGTTTCTGCTGATACATCCACCATTCCTATAAGCATGCCCCTTCAGGTATGGTTGCTCTCTGCTTCTATCAGATGCCCTAGCTTATTATAGCAGCTGAGACTAACGTCTAAGGGTCTGGTTCCTTGGAGACTGTTACCTAGGGCAACTCTAATTATTATAGGACTCACACATCTTAGTGCCCTTCACAATTTCTACAAACAGCACCTCTCATTGTTTGGCTCAAAGGCTTTACTCCTTTCTACCCTATGCTCATCTGAGGGGAAAGCCAAAAGAATCTCACCCATGAAAGAATGGCTATTAAGTAGAATCCTTAAGATGATTCTACTCCCAACTCTGCACAAAATCCAGGAGCAAAGAAATACAAATGATGTGACTACCAGCCTGAAATAGGAGGGAGAAACACATATGATAAACTTAAACTATGATTTTAATGCTAAAATTACATAACCAAGATTTGCAGTTTGAATCATACACAATTTCATCATAGTTACCTCTGAAAGAATATATCATGTGACAAGAAGGAAGACTTTAGCCATCTTCAAGTGTGGTGAATCAAATCTCAGGTCCACTGAATTGGAGATAATGCCTCCAAATGAATACCATCAGGATCCCTAAGAAGCAGCTAGATGAAGGAATGAGATGCCATTAGCAGCATAACAGGACATATATTTAAAATCTGATGGAGGACAGGGCCTCCCCTGGTGGCGCAGCGGTTGAGTGCTGGGCTGCGAAGCTGCCAGCAGCCTCTGCAGCACCGGTTCGATCCCCGGCCACCAGCGAGGGTCCCACATGGTGCGACAGACCTCTCCTGCCACGCCCACTGCTCCCCTCAGCACTGTATTTCGTCAGTCTGCCTGTTCTGTTCCCCGCTCTGGCTTTGGTGAATTCTCTCACCCTCCCATGCTTCTGACGGTACCCAGTACTTGTATAAATAAATAAATAAATAAATCTTAAAAAAAAATATGATGGAGGACAGACTAAAGAAATCAGACATAAACACCTCTAGCTAATAAACATGAAAATCAGGCCCACCTGAGGAGTGGTCTGAGGGGCAGACAAGATGCAGGCACTGTACTGTCTTTAAGCTCATAGAGCTCACAAGTCCTCAGCCAATGTTTTGTGGGTCCATGGAGGAACCTGAAAGTCTCTGGAAATGTTTGGTTGATATTCCATTTAAAATAGTGTTTTTAGCTATTTTAAATATGGTAATGGAAACCAGAAGGCAAATCTAAAAGGGTTATACTATGAGGGGGTACCAAATGGGTGTCTTACGTAAAACTTAACTTGAGATCCTAACTTGCACATAAGATATGACTCCATGAGGTCCATCCTGGAGGAATATGTGTTAAAATCTAGGGAAGATCACACCTTCTCTGCTTAAAAGTCAACAATGGTGTCCCATGACTTTCTAAGTGAAGGCCTTAGCTTGACCAACAGGAGCTAAAGAAGCACATTACTAGCCTTGTTAACCTCAACTATTACCACATTCCCCTTGCTACCCTAGCCTCCTCTCTCCTTCTATAGCATATTATAAAGCTCCTATCTAGACCTGGAATGTAATTTCCAAGGCTGCCATTGTATTTTGCTTCCTTACCTCCTTCATGTATTTGTACAAATCTACCTTTTGAGTGAGCCCCTCCCTGACCACCATATTTAAAAATTGCCTCCCTGTCCCTATGTTCCTCCTCCTTTAAATAAAATATGTTTTCATAGATTTTCTCACCATCTTACATACTACACAATTTAATATTGTGCTTCATTTTGTTGTCTCTCACCCCCATCTAGAGCTTAAGGGCCCTCGGATAAGGACAAGAGAATTTGGGCTATTTTATTTGATGATAAAACACAGCCCCTAGAACAGCATAATATTTCTTGGATAAATGAACAGGAAGATAGATGATAGGAGGACTCAAAAAGCAAATGCCACCTGAAAAAGACCAGAGCAAGTGATCAAACATTTCGTATAGATGCATGTTTATATATTTTAACACCATAAACAGCTTTATCTCTTATTCCAAATTGTTGCTCCTCTTCCTTCTTCCTTTTCTTCCTCTTCCTGCCTCTCTGTATAAATTTATGTATGTATGTATGTAGACATAAAACATATGTATGTATGTAGACATAAAACATATATATGTAACATATATGTAAACATATATGTAACATACATATGTATAAATATATATGTAAACATATATATGTAAGTGTATATATATATATACACTTACACAAATCTACAGATAATGATTTGATCATTTGTTTTAACACTAAACACACATATGTGTGTGAGTCACAAATTCAAATATAGGCAATATTTATTAAGCACTTGATGTTTTAGACCTTATGCCAAGAGTGTGCATTTTATTTTACTCAATTGATGCATATAACAACCTGCAAGGCTGTCAAGGTATTTCAATAAAATTTAAACACTGGAAGCAAATAGAATTTCAGAATTTTCCACCCACCTCTTGTCACTGAAAGAGTTTCTTGATAGGTTATCTTAAAAGCAGAATGTCCAGATTTGATATTCTTTTTGAGTACATTCTAGTTGAGCAAACCCCAAACTTAAATGGCACAAAATATATCACATAGCCAAGACCATATGTAATCTACATTATGGGAAAGTCAGGGATCTTCAAGACTATTTTTATGCAACCCAATTTTCTTTTTCTTTTTTTCTCTCTTTTTTTTTTTCAGTGCAGATATATCCTGTTTATTTTGGAAGCAAGTACCTTTCAGAAGTTTTATTTGCTGCACTGTCAAGACATCTAAGCCAATCTGTGTGGTTCTCCCCTCAAACCTTTATCTTGCCCAGGGCCAGATTAAAAAACAAGATCATTTCAGGGTCCCTGGCCTGGAGGCTTTAGGAAAGATCACGGAGTCCCTACGAGAAAGAGAATAGTGTCCCTTACCCTAAATTTCTCTAAGCAGAGCCAGCTGCTCCTCCAGACAGGGATGGTGAGGCTATCCGACCCCAGGAAGTGGTAACTAGAAGGAAGTTCTTAGAGGCATGTCTGTCTGAAGTTCTTAGAGGCATGTCTGTCTGATGGGGGCCAGAATTGTTCAGGATCCTGAGTCAGAGAGGTCATCCCCAGCCCCAGGAGGAGTTACGCTGCTGAAGTATTTTTGCAGCTCCTACAAGGCCTGGAAGTGATGGTAGATGGTGTTCGTCTCTGTTCCTATTCATCAGGCTGGAAGCAGGGGGCCCAGCCAAAGCTCTGGCAGCCTAAGGACACCACAATCTGGCCCGAAGTCTGGCCCCTGAACAGGTGCACTGGCTGGCTTAGGTCCCCAGTGGTGAGCACAAATGTACACAGGGTTTAGACTGACTCGTCCTCGAATCAGCCAGGAGCTGGTAGAGACCTTTAGGCTTTAACTTCTCCAGAAATTACTTTATAGAGGGGTCAGGGAGGCCTCTAGGAGCATTGAAACACAGACAGGACTCCTCCACCGCACAGGACCCTGTACTTGGTGAGCTGTCTTATACTTCTGCATGGAAACCTCATCAGACTCTCCCTGATACACTGGCAGGTCAATTTTCTGTGCCACCAAAGTGCATGGAAACTTATCTCCTAAAATCTGAATGACGACCTCCAGCTTCTTGGGATTTCCCCATGACAAATATGATGCTCTTCCAGGCCAAGGAGTCTGCAATGGTGAACCCTGGTTATCCAATTTTCATCTTAACTTTCTAATACAAACCTTCGTAAAATGTAACATCAGTTTACGCTAACTAACATCACTGTGATATCAAGTTACCTTGTCTCTACTTAAACTTCAGAATAAAGATTTAACTCTCATATCTATCATATCTAACTATTATAACTCACATGTATATATTTAAACATTTTGTTAAGGAACCCTGGAACAAGGAGCTTGTTGTTCTTCATGACTACCTTTAAAGATCAAGCTGCCTCTGTCCACTCATAAAGTTGCAGCAGTAAACTCTTCTGTTTGTGCCTGCTCCTCAGAAAGATGTCAGTGGTGCAATAAGAAAACATTGAAAGTGTTAAAATATGTAGACCGCTTTATCTCTTAGTCTAAATTGTTGGTGCTTCTTGTTTGATTACTATTTTTTTGATTATGAGAGCTTTTTTAATGTTGCAAGTAAAATCAAAATTTTCTACTTCTCTTTCAAGAATTTGGATCAGTTCAATTTCAGACTGTCCTGGATTGCAAGGTGAGCTGTTGAAAAAAATTGCTACTATTTATAACCACTTATCTGCTTTAAACAGGATTTTAGTTTTCAAATCACCCTACAAAAAAATTCACAGGAATAAATTGTAGGTTGAATCTTCTCTAAGACTAATGATTCTCTACAATCCCCAATGTCACAATTGTTGTTCCTCCTTATAGTTTATCATGCTCATCAAAACAGCCGCAATGTTCCTGTTTGAATTTTTGAGTGAGCATTATTAAAAATCTCAATAATTTAAATAAATATGCATTTCTTGTTTAAGCAAAGAGTTTTAGAATAAGATTTTTCCCTTTTTTTTTTTTTTTAAGTTCTGTGACTAAAAACAGTTTGAAAACCATTACTGTGGCCTAGAGGTTGGTGAACTTTTCCTGAAAAGGTCAAATAGAAAATCTGTTAGACTTTGCAGGACAAGAGGGAAGATTGAAGGTACTGCATAAGTACTTACATAACATTTAAAAATCTGACAACTTAAAAATGTAAAATCTATGGACCACTGTTGACTAATCTCTGCTCAAGCCCAATATCTTTCTTACTAGTGAAGAAATGTTTAGCAGAGTTACAATTTCTTGTGGAGGATCTCCAGGTGGTGCAAGGGGTTAAGTCTCGGCACTATGAAATGGTCACCAGCCACTACAGCATGAGTTCGATCCCTGGCCAGGGAGCTAACCCACGTGATGGAGCAGACATCTCCTGTTTTACCCGCTGCTCCCTTCAGCAGTGTATTTCAATAGATCTGTCTGTTCTGCTTCCCAATCTGTCTCTGGTGAATCCTCTCACCCCTCACCCCACACCTTTGGTCTGCACCCCAGTTCTTGTATGCATAAACACATAAAATAAATCTTAAAAAAAACAAATTTCTTGTGGAATGTTCACAGACATGGAATGTTCACAGACATGCAGCAACGAGAGAAGAGCATGAATTACTATGCATGTTTCTGGATCTCACATTGCTGGGTCATTAACAAATAACCTAAGAAAAAGCCCAGCTACAAATATCCAATGATCCCAAACCATAAGTGAAGCCAAAAACACACAGAAAATATCTACATAAACAATTACCGTGTAAGAGAACCGTATTTAGCACAATTCCTTCATCCCCATATTCAACTCTACCAAACCTTTTGTGGATGCAAAGAAAAATTTCTTGTAATCCACCTATACTTTCATATATATTAAACCAAAAATCTCAGATGGCTAGGAATTATATAGATATGATATATATATATATATATATATATACACACACACATATACATTCAACTTCATAGGAATTTTAGAAATTCAATAAATTTTATAAAAAAGTAAAAAATAGAAAAAATATGTAAAGTCACACTTTATGTCCTGATTTGTAGATCATAATATCAATGATGTGATTAGGAATTAAATTGCAGAGGTGAAGATTGCTTCTGGTCGGAATAAGTTTCTGTATTTGAATTATTTCAGTTACTTTTTCTTAGCGAGACTTTCTAAAGAACCGAGTATAGACATCTTTACTCTTCAACCATCCTTTAAAAAGTCTGGACAATCAAAAATTAAAAGTAACAAAAACTCATTTCTCCTACCTTTAACATGCACATTGCAGCACCAGATAACTTAATGGTAATTTTTTTCTTCATATAAGTATTCCAGCTAGCAAAGGAAGAAACCATGATAAAATTAGAATTACTACGTTTTGAACTTCTAAAGATTTAATTAATTTAAAAATTCATTATCAACAACAGCTAACATCAGAAACAAAGAAAAGCATTATATTTTTTCTTCTGGAAGAACATGATTTCATCTACTAAGTACTTTTGTTCCAAAAGAAAAACCTAACTTGGATAAACAGTAGATTTTTGGTGGGGATCACAATGTAGCATCCACAGATGCCAGATTATAATGGTGCACACTTGAAACCT